ATTTCTAATATTCCCATATCATCAAGAGATTCAAATCCATCTCCAGCAATGTCCCACATCCTATTGTCTCCTTCCATATAAGTTGAAGTTTTCCTTGAGAGAATTCGAAGGTTTGTATGCACTTAAACTAAATCTTCAGCCCGTTGTGGAGTAATTTTTTTTTTTTCATTGATTGGATGAACGAGTATGTGCTCCAATTTTTTTCACAACAAGATGAGAATGAAACTTGGCTAAACAATTTTATGGCGATTGTTTTAAGTAGAGGTGCTGAAGCTCCATGTATAATCCATCACATTTTCGGATCAATTCTCCACCTATCACGCAATGACTTTTGGTCACCAAAGTCCTTTAAATAACTAAAAATTTTAGCAAGCTCAATATTGACACTTCTTCTCTCATTCTCATTTGTAAAATAACGCCTTAAACATGTCTTCCTCCTCATATTTGAAATTTTTAAATATTTCTGTGAGAAATTATTTGAGGATCCTCTTGAAGTCATTTTTTAGTTGAATATCTTCAAATAACATTATAATGAAATAATAAAAAAATGTTGAAATTACTAAACAATAAATTGTGAATTAATAATAAAAAAATTGAAATTTATCTGGGATTTAGTGAGTGAGCCAAGCAATGTAAAGGTGTATTACTTTTGATCCACCTATCTTCTAGAATAACATAAATAACATCCCAAAAGCTTTAGTCTTAATGAAGTGCCGTTCTCTCATGTCTATATATAATTTCTTTTACTTTGGCCAGCATTGAATCCCACATCTCATAAATGTGATGTGAACAAGACTTATCTGTATCAGCTACTCTCAATATCTCATAAATTGGATTTGTGAAATTTATGATGTATTCAATCTCATCCCACTATAAAAATCATCTAAAAGCTTCTCCTTTACATACCTAGCCTTTCCAACATCATCTTTCTTATAACAGGACCATTTGTCACTGATCAATATAGCTTGAAAAGCATTTTTTATTTTTTTAAATCTTCTTAACATCACTACAACTGAGGCAAAACGAGTTTCAACAACTGCAAGCATCTTCAAATTAGAGAAATCATTGAACATAGAAAGTCTCATTGAGTGATTCATAATAAAATTCCTAACTACAACTGCATCTCTAGCAATCACTATGATCTAATGACATTCATTATAGGTGATTTCATTTGCCTCGGTATTCTTAGTGGCACAAATATTCTTCAAGGCAAGATTAAGTGTATGTACAACACGGTGTCCAAAAAATATGAGAATAGGCTTGTTCTACAAGTAGACCTGTAGCTCTACAAACAGGTGCATTATCGGTAATGACCTGAATGATGTTTGAAGGCCCCACCATCATGATAACTTCTTTGATTAAATTAGAAATAAAGAACTTATCATTGTACTATCATTCACAGTTTACAGCTTTGATAAACATAGGATAGCTCTTTGTTACCGCCATGAAGTTGATAAGTGGTCTTCTCTATGGATCTGTCCACCCATCACAAACCAAAGTAACTCCTTTTTCCTTGCAAACTCCTCTAGTAGGCTCGAGTAACTTCTCAATATTATCCCTCTCTCTTTGCAACAATTTCATTCTAATGACATTATATCCTGATGGCACCTATCCTGCAAGATTATTATTGCATGCGTAGGTAAAGACATTCTTGTAATGTAGATTTCTTGTTAGGTTAAAAGGAAGTACAGCTGAATAAAACATTCTAGCTATTTCCCCATCTAGTTCTCTCATTTATAAATTAAATGTTTTCTCCAAAGCACTATCTACAATATGTTTTCTTCTTTTTGGTTTAAATCCCTCCATCCGAAAAGGCCCTTTGTTAACAGTATTATCATCACTTCTAATTGAAGAAGATGATGAAGGATATGAAGCATGAGTGCTTTGAAGTTGAATATGTTTTGGAAGTTCTTTTTACTCCTTTGTTCAGTTTCACTTATTTTGTTTATAATTCAGCCATTTGTGATGAGCTTCTCTTCGGGCATACTTTAATTTCATAATCGCTAATTTTCAACAAATGAGCTTTCACTCTATAATATGATCCTTTATATGTGGCATTACAAAAATTAAATTTAAATGCAATATTGTCTCTCCCTTTTGACGTTTGACTTATTTTTGTCACATAACCCCACAAAGGTTTATTATCTTCAATATTAATCTATGATGGACCATCATCAGACCCAATTCCTACACCACTAGAGCTCATAATTCTACAAAAGATCGACATAAATTAAACTACAAGAATTTGAAACATGAAAATTTTTATGTAAAATTGTAGATATGTTGCAATTATGCTGGGGGTCCAAGGGGGCGCTGCCCCCTGGCGGGGTTTGACCTGGTGTATCGAGCAGTACCGAGCGGTACAAAGTTCCGGTACCGAGCAGTATTGAGTTCCAGTATCGCTCTGTACCACGCGGTACCTAGTACCGAGTCGCTCCGTCGACGAAGAACAAAGAAAACGAACCTTCACTGCTCACGTCGCCTTCACTGTTCGCGTCGTCAAGTCGCTCCTTAGACAAAGAATGATTATGTCAGCTTTAATGCTCGCATCGTCAAGCCTCTTTGTTGACGAAGGATGATCCTGTCCGCTTCTATGCTCACGTCATCGAGCTGCTCCTTCGACTATAACGAAAAAGACGAACACATGCGCCGAAACAAAAATCCTAGCTCGCCGAAATGTTTAAGCCGCAAATGCAGATAGCTGGAATGAATAGGGCAAGTTGCGACTTCGTTTTTTTTATAGGACACGCGTATCCGATATGCGTGTCCGCTCAAACAATTTAAAATTCACTTCAGCTCAAAAAGAGCTAATGCCTAGTCAAAAATATCACAAAGATCCACTCTCAGATAATTTCCTACTAGTAAGGATATGGTACGTGTCCTCTTATTGGTGGTTTTGCTGCCAAATGATTATCCTGTGACCCGGGTCCCTCTGAACCGAGTGGTTTTACCACCAAATGGCACCACAAGATAGCAGTTATGGATAGAGTCAATACATTCTTTAGTGACATCAAATCCTTGAGATATGAATCAATATGATATAATCGATAGGGCATAAAGTCCTCTGTTAGCTTAGTTCGATTTAAATTTGTCCACTTAGATAAACATTCATCCTAGGTCCCCTTGGACGAAGCAACAAATGGCTTCTGTCAGGTTGGGTCGACTACCTCCTATGACTAAGTAGGCTAAGGACCACGATGGCCCAGGACGATGGAACCATGGATCTTGATCGGGTCCATCATCCATTCCCCACCATCCGCTTTAAGTGCAAGACGGTGAAATTTCCAATTTTAAATATCAAACCTTAAAACTTTCAATACCCAAGACCATGCTGCTACTATATGCCAGATATCATGTATTCTCTACGTATCTGATTGACTACTAGCTTTAATCAAAAGTTCTCTCTCGTGATCGGGAGGGGTGATTAACTATAGGGGTTTGCACCTTAGGATATCAGAACTCAGATCATAAAGTCCTCGCAAAATGAGGGCAAAATCTCTGGGTAGTGTCTTATCTACAAATCCATCTGCCTTTCGAAATTTATCTCGGAACTTAATCCATTAAAACTCTCACGAAGAAAAAGCAAGAGGGGGAGGCCGGGGTCGAATTTTCGGAGCCCACACTTGTATTAATAGAAAAACCTTTAAACTTTGTTATAGTTTATGGCATAGCAAGCTATCTATCATGACCATTTCTTTTTATTATGGTCATCTTATTTAATGGCATCATGCTTCTTTTAGTAATAAAAATCGATCAGAACATCTTATTTGGTTAAAGAAGCGCATGTGAGAAGCCAACTATGTATCTCTGTGTTCTCCAGAGCTTTGTTATGTGTAGAAATTTAACATGTTTCTTGCAGACTACAACATCAAACTGCAAATTATCTGGTGCGAAGAGGATAATCCAGGCCAAGAAGCAATGGGGTTGTGCCCTCTGCAAGGTAAGTTCTTCTAGCGAGGAAGCCCTAAAAGATCATCTTCGAGGTAGAAAGCACAAAGTAAAAGAAGCCTTGCTACTCTCTAACAAGAAGACTGGTCTCTTGCAATCTAAGCAGAATGTGAGCCCACCATTGGATGGTGGTGGGCCTTTGAAGAATAAACTTTCAGAAGGAAAGAAGCAACAACAGAAGCTTTGGTGCAGCCTCTGCAAAGTGAAATGTAATAGCTCCATTATGTTAGAAAATCACAAGGCTGGTAGAAAACATAGGAATTTAATGGAGTCAAAGAAAGCCAACTTTAGTTCTAAGACCGAAGCAGTTAAGACTAGCAAATGAAAAACTTTGGGACAGTGCAAGTGCAGGATTAATTAAGGAAGAGTTGGAGACTGCATGCCCATCAACAGCACCATCAAGCGCTGGAGTGTACGTAGATAAGTATATTCAAGACTTTGTGAAATTTAATGGCTTAAACCATTGAGCAGTAGCTATTTTATTTCATGCATGATATCAGTTTGTTCTGCTTTATTCATTTTTATTTTCCAGATCTTTGATTTCTGCTGTTTGATTCTCTAATTTGATCTTGGACGGTCTATTTGTTCTATATATTTTTTTCTGATTTTTGTATCCTGCTGTAAATATTATGGGATAAATTTGTTTGTGTTTTGATTTTTAATTTATAATTTATGGGAAAAGTTATAATAATGGAAATGCTTATATTAAAGAGTTTTGAAAATTAGTAAAATGTGGTTGAAAAATATGATCTTATAATTTGATAGTTATTTATTGATTGCACACCTATAGAATTTTCCAGAACCTTTGGTTCCAAATAGTGTTATTCATCATTTCATTGTATATGGTTATTAAGAAGAACAAAATCTTATAAAGCAAAAAGAGATGTGGCACGATTTTAGTGGTAGCAATATAAAAGCATAAACATTTTGTGACATATAGTAAAAGTCCGTATAATTGAATTTTATGAAATATTTTAATAATTTATGAAGAAATTTATTTGGTTTTGATGGGTTAAAATATAACAAACTAAATACAAGGATAATATGGGAAATACATAAGAATTTGATTGTTGTTTTATTATAGAAGCAAATAAGTTATATATTGAAGTAAATCACAATGAGACATTTTTGTGGAAATGAATAGCTTGTGTGGGGGCTAGGAGAGTGATGGGGGCTACTTATTAATGGTTTGGCTGGGGATAAAGGCTTTAGAGAAGGTGGAAGAAGTCTTATATATGGAGGTGTCATTTGGATATTCTAATGGAGGTGGTGGTTATATGGTGATAAGGTTATTATTGATAATAATGAGATTTGTAGCAAAAAACACGTGCTTGTTACATGTGTCGGCTCCAAAAATTTGCGCCCCGTCCTCTGTGCGACACCTTTTTTCGGGTCGTCGAGGAGAGTTTTAACGCTTAAGTTTCGGGGTAAATTTTCAGAAGGCAGATTGAATTGTGAATAAAATATCATCCAAAGATTTCGCCTTCATTTTGCGAGGACTTTATGATATAAGTTCAAATTTACTATTGGAGCAAGCCCTTATAGTTAATTACCTCTCCTGATAACGAGAGAGAACTTTCAATTAAGGCTAGTCTTCGAATAAATACATATTATTCATAAATACATAACATTTGGCGTATAGTAGCAGCATAATTTGGTATTTGAAATTTTAATATTTAAAATTAGAAATTTCACCATCTTGCACTTAAAGCGGATGGTGGGGGGAGTGATAATAGACCTGATCAAAATCTCATGGTTCCTTCATCCTGAGTCATCATGGTTTCTAGTCTACTTAGTTAGAGGAGGTAGTCAACCCAACCTGATTGAACGATCCTTGTCGGCAACAATGGGTTGCTTCATCTAAGGGTATCTTGTAGAGCTGGGGTAAGTATTTTTCTAAGGGGATAAATCTAAATCCACCTTAACTAACAGAGGGCTTTGTGCTTTATCAATTATATCTTATTGATTCATATCTAATGGATTTGAAGCAGTTGGGGAACATACGAGCTCTAACCATGACCGTAATATAATAGTGTCATTTAGCGGCAAAATCACCCCGTCAAATGCAATCGGTCAGAATTGTTTATATATTATATCATTTAGCAATGAAACCATCGTTTAGAGGACACTTCACACTTCCTTACTAGCAAGAGACGGATTTTGAATAATTCCTAATGATATTCTCGGTCGGATATTAGCTCTTTGTGAGCTGAAGTGATTTTTAATTTATCCACTCCAGTAAACTGTTGCGGATGGTGGATGCATACTGTGTTTTAAGTGTTTGATGATTCATTTAGTTTTAAATATTTTAATTTTGGGTGATTATTTGGAAATTTTTAGTGGGCATTTGGGAGGTATTTTTTTTAATATTTTAGGTCCCCTCCGGTTGAGATTCTCTATCAACACATCCATCATCTGGGTTTTCTTGAGAAATTTTATTTTATTAGTTGAACTTTGCCGACTTTGTTAACTTGTCAGCAGAGGATCGAATTTCTCACTAGTTTTATGGCTTTATTAGTGATTTTTTTTTTGTTATAGGCCTTGGATGCCTAATATGAATGTATAAAATAATATCCTGGTCGATGTTGCGACCGTATATTTATTTGATGGTTCGAATCATATCGACTCCCATCCATTCATGTGAATTTGGATTCATGTTTGACCCGTATTCTCAGATGTCAGTGTATACATAGAACACACTCGTCAAGGCTCATGCGAGTATTCATATTTCAGTGTATAAGGGGGCAAATGACCTCTATTGACCGGTATATAGGGTTTTGTTTTAGAATTGATAGGCGCCTTCTATCTGCTTTCTATACATATTACGGATCCAGTGGTGTGTTTAGAAGAGATGAGACAATTTTCAGTGATCATTATTTGATTCTAAAGAATCATTCAATTTTCATGCTTAGTGCCACAGTCGGGGCCTTTCTCTGATAACATATCAATGAATTTCCTCTTTTCATCGTATGGCCCTTCTTTATTCCAACTATCACTATCAGAATCTCCAAAATTATCAATTGGAGGGTTTACTTGTACTTGATCAACAAAAACTTTTAGCTCTAATAAAGAAGCTCCCTATCAACATTGTTGTTGCATGAAAGAGGTCCTCTATAGTTGTTTGTATGTACTTACATTCGCTATATAACGACCAACTCTACCTGCGAGGGATCAATGCATTTGTCTTCCCTTTATATGGTTGTTGATTGTAGGGATGACATAGCGTTCGTTGCATATTGCTAGTTATGACTACTACGCAGAAGGAAGTATTCTGTCATTATAAGCATGTGCTTACATTTATTGCAGCTCTTATATCCCGGCTTGCCAATATCACACTACATATGTATTTAGGTTCACACGGATCTACCATACTTGCAGCACATCTATCATCATTGGTTTTGTATAGACTATATCAACCGTAATTATTTATAGAGGATTAATAAGTTTGCCTGACATTAAATTGCTGCTAACTATGTGAGTGCCCTGGCATTTATTACATGTTGTTTATCATCACCGATAGATAGATTGGTGTATGCATGACAAGCCTCCTGCAATTGCCTGTAAGTGCTTATGTCCATGGCGGTCTCTTGGTTCATGCTTACACCATATCCAGTATCATTGTTCATAGGTGGCTTAGCGTGCTTGTTTGCAATTGACTGACGTTGACTGCGGGCAGGGTGTGGTGTACATGATGATTCATATATTGTAGTTTGTGGATGCTTGCATTTAGTGTAAATATTCTAATGAAGCATTGTGAAAATCACAAATCTTCTAGTGTCGTTCGCTGCGACATTGGGCATTTTTGAATTTAAAGTTTGTCTCCCTGCGATTGTTCAAATTCTGTTCCTTGTTGCTTAGCTCAAGTCATGTGGGGATGTTTTGGTGTTGCAGGAAAGTGGGAAGTGGGAGATATTTACTTGGTTGGTGGAGTAGGAGGGATTGTTGTGGGCTATTTGTTGGAGTGGGCTTGGGTAGAGTATATGGGCTGTTTGAGTGGGCTTTGTTGGTGAGGTGAATATGGGTTGATTTAAAGGGGCTGTTGGAGGAGGAGTTGAGTGGGCTAACTGAAGTAGCAGATGTGGGCTTCCTCTGGCATGAAGAGGAGAGGCAGAGAGAAAATACCTTGCGACTTGAGAGGGGTTCGAATCAAGGAGGGGTGTGGGTTGAAGGAGAGAGAGCTGTTAGGGATTCAGCTGGTTTGTAATTGAGAGGCTAGAGGGATATTGAAGTCGAAGAAGATCGGAGGTTGTCGTTTCTTCTTGTTTTAACTACGAGGCCTGTGCCTAATCGAGGAGAGCAAAGCAGAAATCTCACGAGGAGATGCGACGAAGTTACGACAAAGGGATTTGCTGGATTTTTCGACAAAGCCTATGTATTTCGATTTGATTTTGATTTTTTTTTTATTAAAATTAAATTTTTGTTATGTTAAATAGATAATAATAATAATAGAGATTTCAAGAACTAAACAGAGTTTTGGGCACTATAAAATTTGTGTGTCGTCGCCTTGGAACTCACGTTGATTTGTGTGCGTGATTTTTATTGAGCGATGTTATTTTCGATTTTAGATATTGCCGATGTTTTGAGCTCAACGACGAAATCCGTTTTACAGTCGGATGCCGTTTGGGCAACGTCACGTGTCAATTTTGAGCGTTGATCACTGATTTTGACCGTTTTCACCTGCTTCATTTTCGAGGGGCTCCCCCTTAGGTGAATTCGACGCTCTGATTGCAACAGCGTAATCCACTTAGCGATCGAAGATCATTTTGCACTTCAAGTGAAGCACTGCACCAACATGTGTGTCATTTAAATCACCGATTTTCCCTCATTTTCACGCATCTTTTACTATAAGGATCAACAACATACTAATAATGAGAATAATGCACCCCTAAATCAACTTACAATGAAATTTTCTTGTTTTCTTAGATGGTTACGGTATAACCGAAGATGATGGGTACACAAATCATGGAGGATGGAGGTAATTCAAAATTTGGGAGGATTAAGAGGAAAATCCTTTGTATGTTGAAGACAACGTACTGTGGAAATTAAAAGATTTGAAAGATGAGGAGATGAAATTCAAGTAAAGAAAAATTAGAAAAAAAAACCTAGGATTTGTAGAGGAGATCAAAAAGAGAGATTATAGCTTATCCTTGCTATCATGCCATTCTTGCAAGGTGGGGTCTCATTTCTATTCTCCACTTTCTTGAGTGTTTTCAAGGATATAAGTGATTATGATGAGGAAGGGTCCATATTTTTTCTCCATAGAAGATCTCTGGTAGAACTTATGGAGAGTGAAAAAGAGGGGGCTTTAGGAAGAACTCAATTTTTGTTTCATTTTGTTTTAATAAGTATACATGGGCTTCTATTATATATACATAATAAAAAATAAGGAATTATAAAGAAAATAAATAAAGTTTAGATGCAATAAACTTTTAGTTCATTTTGGCACTAAAGTAACACCAGCCATAACTGACTTCTTAGGAAAAGCCAAGTCTTCCAAGCACAAGATAGATTCTTTTCATTACTAAACAGTCCTATAAGTCAAGATTTAAATAAAATTCTTAGTCAACATTAGAACTAGTTAATTTAAAAGAAGATTAATAATATATTATGTAGTTATCTTAATAAATCCCTTTATGAAAAGCAATCCATGAGCATTCAATATAAAACAAGGAAGCAATTAATTTTTAGCTTCATGTGGTTTAGGCAGTTAATTTTGGTCGTCCAGATAAACTATACCATCGAAGCATGAGATTATGAAATGTACTCATCATGTTAAGTAAGATAATATAAGATTTGAGATTCTTGTAAATCATTTATTCCCTATTTTAGAGCATAACTTCTATGAAAAGTAAAAAATAAATAAAAATAATCATATTTTCAATGACCCCAAAAGATGGCTTGGCACTAATCATTTCTTGTTCTTGCCTTCAAAATTTAATGTGACATATGCCCATTAGGCTCTATTCCTAGTCAATAAATTCGGGCTTATACTTTGATGACCTTGAGTTAGGATATCTTGGATTTTTTTTTTTCTTTGCTTATTTGGTCTTATTTAATCCTATTTTTAATCTTCACTCCTTATTGGTATTTACCATTATTGATTTTATTCTTCTTTAAACCATTTGACTTTTGAGAACATTTTCATTTGCAATCCTCCTTAGTCCAAGCCCACATGAGCTTCACACACCAAGCAACTTGATTTAATGGCTTTTCTCCTCTCTAAATTTTGTAGCATGCTACTTTATGTTGCATTCTCCTTCATTACTTTTCTAAGAATAAGCTCTTCCAAACTAATGATTATAGTTAATGATTGATCTTTAGCTTCATATCAACTAAAATAGAAGCAAAATTAACCTGGACTGAATAAATACAACACAATAAAACCTAACAAAGTAATGAAAATTTAGAATTTTAATCACTAATAACAAATCTCTAATTTATACTCCTTGCAATATATTCTCAAAGGTATGAGCATGAGCTTGGCTTGATGGCATCACAGTAATCATTATCACCTTTGAATTGGCAAGCTTTGGCCAAGAAGGAAAGACTTGAGAAGCATCAGAGCCTCCTTAGGCTTGTTCAGTGGCACAAGATGGCCTGCTCCCCTAATTGTCACCATTGTCAGACCTTGGTACTCCACAAATCTTCCACCAACCTACAGGCCAGCATGGTGAAAAGGAACTAAATTTTTTTTTTTTTTTACATTTTTACTTTCTTGAGGTTGAAAACAGTTAAAAACAAAATTGTTTGGTTTGAAGAGCAAAAAAGAATAGTCTTGTTTTTGTTTTTTTTTTACCTGTTTGTTATGGTACCATATCTGCCAGTTGGAAAGGAGAGGCAAGCCTAGAGACTCAACACAGTACCTGGAGCCAATAACTGGAACTCTGCCATCTGTGTCTCCACTGCAAATGTTAAGAGACAGAGAGAGAATGAGAAAATGAGACTCCCCAAAAAACAAAAAGGAGAAAGCAACAAAAAGAGTCACATGCGTCAAACAGTTTTTTTTTTTTTTTTTTTTGTATATCAAAATATAAATTTTATATAAATATGATTTCAAAATTTCTAAAATTAACTCATATGATAGTACTTATGATTGTATTTGCATGTAGTTTATTTTAATATGTTGATTTGAAGTTTTGGCTATCAATAAAAAATTTCTAGATTCTAAATTTACATATGTGACGTGTGTGCAAATTTGATTTGAATTGACTCAAAAGTCTAAAAAATAAAAAACATATATTGTATTTGTATGTGATTAAGAATAATTGAACAACAATAATAACAATCATTTATCTCACTATGTGGGGTCAACTACATTAATCTTATTTTCATTGTGTTCTTTTAAGAGTTAAATTCTCACCTAAATCTAATAAAGAATTATCATTTCTAATATTTTCTAACCAAGTCTTTTTAGATCTACCTCAACCTTTCTTAACACTACCGTTGTCAGGTCCTAAGTTCTGGATGAGAAAAGTGAAGGATTGCGTTAGGTAGTTGACAGAAAGTGTAAAATTTGTCGAATAATCATAACATGAATCTTTTAATACTCAGAATAATTGAACACAATTAAAAAATAATAATGTATAAATATGTGATATAATTTCTCCAAATCACAGCTGTAAGGTTAATTTTGAGTCAATCAATACACATGTGATTATTATTTTTTGTTTTTTCTGATCTGATCATGGTATGCTTTGTGTGGGGATGTATCAAACAGGAACAAAGAGCCATGCGTATAAAGCTGGGAAGTGGAGTGGAAAAGATTTGGAAGGAAAGCAAATCAAAATGATGTGAAGGATGCTGAAGATGACTTAAAGATTTGCTATATTCCATTGATATGAAAACCTATGAAGCCTACGCCATTCTTGCAAGGCAAATGAGGATCATACAGTTTGAAAAAAAAAATTTTGAGAACAGAGAAATAGAGATATTTTAGTATTCCCTACTACTTCAAAAATGGAGGATTTGCATACATGTCACAAAAATTCTCACATCTAAGTTTTTATATTTATTTAAATAATGTCAAAATCTATAAACCATATAAAAATATTAACAATATTAACTTATTCAAAGTAAACCGCATCTTTTGGTGTATATGATATAGTGTAATTTAGATACTAAGTGAAATATAAAAAATTAAAGTGTTGTATAATATAAATACATATTAGGAGGATTTGCAAGTATATGAAATAAAATTGTAGGATGAAAAGAATAGGAGGAAGAGGATGGCACAAGGAACAAAAATAAAGGAAATGCAAGGCTTGAACAGCCTTTGGCAAATTTTTCAACCTACAATAATTGGTGGAGCTTTGATCTTCCAATAGATCCCGCGCATCATAGTTAAGTAATAAAGATCCTCTTAACAACTAATAAGAAGAAACCCTGTCATGGACGAACCAACATATTCACCGACCAACATTTTTTCTTCGATATTCTATCTCACTTTCTAGCTCATTCACTGGGGTGTTATTTTTTATGTTTGATAAATGTGAAGCACGATAAAAATTTCGTGTAATATTGTCATATTAACTTTAATGGTAAAGTTTAAGATGAATAATCTTGATTAGCTAATTAGATTATGAATGATTAAAAATATAAACCAAATAATTTATGGTTTAGCATTGACATTAGATCTTTTTTAGATGATTTGAATTCACCTTAGCTGAAATCAAAACCTTTAATTTTAATTTTGACAGGCTACTTTACTGAGATTGGACTCATTATCAGTTCTATCAATGGAAAATAAAATAAAATAAAATACCAATGTAAATTATATAATAGGATGTGTTATTAAAATTTAGGCCAAACCTGTATATCCATATTCTTAATCCAGCCTTGATAAGTTTGGAGTAGATAGGAAGAACAGAGAAGACAGTGAAGTTATAGATATTCAGAATGGAATCACTGCCACAAACAAAAGATAAAGATGTGATGCAAAAGGAACAAAAGAAAATTAAAAACAAAAAGGAGTCCCATCTTTGACAAACATTTACATTGACCAAACAGAGAAAAAGGTATTAAAAGGTTATATTTACTCAAGAATCATAAAATGACTTTCTTAACATTTACCACTACACCATTGTAAATTCAAAAATATGAAGACAAAATTAAAATGCTTTAAGAAGAAATTAAACTCAACTTGCAAACCTTCCATTTTAAATTAGCTTTCCTTGTAACATGCAGTGATCTCTTCACATCAGCCCTGTTAAAGTACTTCTCCACATAGTTTGAGAAACATGGATCATATCCTGATGGAATCCTTATCCTCTTCCTAAAATTCATCTGCAACTCAATTCACAAAATACATAAATTTTGATAAGTTCCAAAATTATGATCATATTTAGACTTCGTTTAGGACAACTTTCTTACAGTTTTTTAAAACAAATTTAGTATAATAGAAAGCTGTTTTAAAAAATAGTAAGGAAGTTGTTCGAAACGAAGCCTTAATCAATATCTAAACTATTATGAAGTACCTTATCTTGAAAATTTAGTTTATAATCATCATTTAATGATGAGTTTTCAACAGCTATGCACATTGGTGCATAGATATTGTAGATGTCAATCTCATTGATATCAGACCAGTTGCAAGCCTTGTTAACAGTAGCATATGCTTGGTCTGATATCACACTGTGACTCCATGCATACTCCAACAATCCTTTGGAGTCATAATAATTGTCAGTCTCAGGGTTCCCAACCTGTGATGCAATAAATATTAGACAAATAATGGCCTAATAAATAAATAAATGAATAAATTATATATATAAAGAGAGAGAGAGAGAGCAATAAACTTTTCTTTCTCCTAGTAAGAAAATGATCATTGTCCTCTTAATTTTACTTTTATACCTACCGTTCATACAACCTTCCAACTCAAAATGAAACATTTAGGCTTCGTTTGAGATGACTTTCTTACTGCTTGTTAAAGCAACTTTCTAGTAAAAAAAAATTAATTTTTGTACTGAAAAGCTGCTTTAAGAAGTAGTAAGAAAGTCATCCAAAACGAAATCTTAATCTCATCGATGTTATGAAAATTACTTGCCAAGAACATTTTATCCACCGTAGTGATAACTTATTCATATCATCATATGTGAAAATAAGAATGGTTGACAAGCATATTAAAGCTCACATAGTATAAACAAAACAAATCAACAAAGAAAATTATAATTATCTTCTCATATAATTGAAAGCATTCAATGGAAAAACATTATCATATATGATTTATGGTTTTAATGATGTTCAAGAGAATGAATGGACCACATCATGATTTTGAGGGTCATAACAAGAAAAGATTGAGATATAAGAGAGAGAGAAGAGAGAGAGATTTAGGTTTTGTTTGGAAAAACTTTTTTACTGTTTTGTAAAGAAGCTTTCTAGTACAATAATTATAATTTTTATACTAAAAAATTGTTTTAAGAAGCAATAAGAAAACAGTCCCAAACGAAGCCTTAGTTATTTATATGTAGCCCGGGTGAGAAGACATGGAAGAGCATACAACCATGAAGCCTTTGAGGTTAATATGAGGAAAGCTCTTTGGATCCTTGTTGTGTTCATAGATAACCTCGGCAAGTTGAGGTACATAATGTCCTGCAAAACAGAATTTGTTTGGTAAATTTAAGAAATACAACTGAATAAATGCCAATAACTTTTAGCATTTTTTTAATAGCTCCTGAAATAATAAAATCATGTCCATCTTTTCATAGCTTTCCCATCAAAGCTTCTTTATGTTCTATAAAAATAAGAAAAGATTATTCGGTTCATATTCCTTTTAGAAAGATGAGCATGAATCATCATAACTTTTACAAGTTATTTATGGTCCATCCTTTAGTTTTATAATTGCTAAGCATGAGTTATGCAAAGATGTTTAAGGTTTTATTTGGAATGATTTTCTTATTGCTTTCTAAAACAAATTTTGAGTACAAAATATTTTAGTTTTTTTTTTTTATTAAAAGCTATTTTAAAAAACAGTAAAAAATTCGTCTAAACCTAAATTATAATTTGTCAAGTTTGGTGAGGGTTATTTAATATTATCTCAATAGCATTATTATAGAATAAACGTTTATTAAAATAAAAGAGCAGTGCGTTTAATTTAGTTTTATCTTTTCTAAAAATAGTATATTATTTGGAATGAGGACAAATTTTAAAAAATAAGGATTATATAAAATTATATAAGAGTAAACAATTTAATAAGGAGTAAATTAAAAAGGAGCTTCAAAGATAAAATATTTTATGTTTTTTTTTTTTGCAAAATGCAAAAATATTTTGCATTTTCATCTTTTTTTTATAGTTTTGCAAAAATATTTTGCATTTTCAACATTAAATATAATTTTTTATAATTTAATCATTATAACTAAAAACAATTTTCATTTTCAATATTCCTTTTTAAAATGCATCACAATCTTCATCTCATAATTTGTATTTCATTTTAGAAAAGAAAATAAATCCCAACCTAAATCTTTGATGAAAAAATAAATAAATATTTTCAATAAACTTCAATATATAGTTCACCTGCATAACTCTCTCCAGCTATGTAAAAATCATGGGACTGATACTGTGGAAATCTTCTCATCCAGTTTACTAAGAAGTTGTAAGCATCTTCAGCTGTGTAACAAATTCAAAAAAAAATTACAAGAAAATATAATGGGGAGAAGGATTCAAAAACCTGATTACAAATAATTAATTAACTTAATTAATGATAATGATCTTATTTTTATTTGCAAATATAAGCCAAATAAATTAATTTATAGCAGCAGATTGATTACCAACAAATCCATCTTCCAGTCTACTGAAGTCAGAAGATGAATTGCTGTAGGAGAATCCAACCCCAACTGGAGATTCCAAAAATAACAAATTTGCTTCTGCATTTGAGATTAGTTCATTAAATAGCAGACTTTTTAGAGAGAGAGAGAGAGAGAGAGAGAGAGAGAGAGAGAGAGAGAAGAATATGGAGAGGAAATGTGGATTGAATTGAATGTAATAGACCTTTATTCCAAGCATATTTATTGAACTCAAGCCCTGCTCCATGTCTCTTGATTCTCAAAGGACCCAGCTCCACTACTGCTCCATAGCCAATAGATGAACACCCAGGTCCTATAAAAAAAGGGAAAATACAATCAAAGATTTAAAAAAAAAAAAAACTTAAGAAAGATTCAAGTTTTCTGCTGCATTTGAAAGATAAAGATGAAAAGCATAGAAACCTCCATTGAGCCAGAGGAGGAGGGGCTTCTTTGATGGCTGTGTTTCTGCTTCAAAGAACCAGTAGAAGAGAGCTCTTCCTCTTTCAATGTTGACTGTAATATGACCAGAGTACTGAGAAATTAATAAATTTTGAGGCTGGCCAGGGAGTTCTAACACTCTATCAGAGTCTTGTGAATCTGAAACTTTATCTTCTGTTCTTCCTTGCAGAGCTTTGCTGCTTGGAATAAAGAAGAGAGAAAGAAGAATTATGATGGCCGTGGAGAAATGTGAACAAGGTTTCATGGCAGATTTAATGAAGTTCATTCTCATAGGATGAAACAAGAGAAAAGTAGAGAATTATTTGAGAAGAGGAACAAATAGAATATTAGCAAGTGCACCAGCCCCTGACTTTAAAGGCTACTTTGTGGCTTTTGCTTTGTTTGAAACTGATCAAAAGCTTATGAATACTTTTTATTTCAGCCCCACCTGAATTTTGGGCTTATTTGACTAAATGTTTTTAAAATATATATGCATAGTAATTAAAATATCTATATAATTTATTTTCTGTCTTTGTTATGATTTTTTTTATATGCTTTTGAGCCAATTCAGTCAAATTCACTCACACATCATATACACAAGCTTTGAATCAAAAACCTCTTAGGTTTTGTTTGAGATGGATTTCTTTTTGCTTTGTAAAACAGTTTTCTATAATAAAAATTTCTTGAATTTAAAATTTTTGTATTAAAAGCCATTTTAAAAAGCAGTACTAAAGCTTCCCAAATGAAGCCTTAGTTGATAGCTAAATATCTCAACCAAATAGATCAATATGAGCTATATGTCTTTGTTATGATACATTTCAAATATATTACAGATGAAAGGAGTGTTTCAGAAATGTAAACTTCCATGCTATGAGTTTTTCTCATGTTAAGAATTTGCAAATTTTAAAGTTGTATTTAATTTATTTTAAACATAAAATTAAATTTGTAAAGGTCAATTAGACATTTTTTCATAGATAAATATATATTTTTAAATATTTAATAATGAAAATACAATCAAAATTATCAATGTAATGATTGAGCCAAAATTAGAAAAATAAAACCAATCTTCAAAAAGTCTAACTCACACACACATAACATACGGAAACTTCGAACTTAAAATCTCTTGATTAATAGTCAAAACCTCATACGCTACCCTACAGACACAAGCAACTCAAAAAACTTTTGTGAAAAAAAAGAGAAGTCAATAAGTTAGGGTTCGGAGAGCTGTGCTAGGGTTTCTCTTTTAGCTGATTTGCGCCTCCTCACTTCCTTCTCCTCCGGCTTTGCCTTCCTTCTCCTTCGGCTTTGCCGGAGGCCCTTCCCCTTCATCCTCATGGATCCTCTGCTTTTAGTCTTTGACTTCCCTCCACTGTCGTCTGCTGGTGGTGTGCCTCTCCTTCCAGAACGTAATTGGAAATCAGTCTTTGCCTCTGAAGAATCCTCTTCTTCAGACCTTCAACTTTCTCACTATCCTCTTGAACCGGAAATCATCCCTTTCTTTGGAGAGAAATTGACTCAAGGTGCAGGTGACTGGAATCTCTATCTGGTCGGGTATTTTATTGGTAGCAGACCATTTTATGAAGCTTTGCTAGGAGCCATAAAGAAAACATGGAGTCTCAAAGGTGCATTGCAGATGTATCCCTCAATGATGGTTTCATCTTGTTTAAGTTTGCATGCAAAGAAGATCTGGATCTTGTCTGCTCCAGAGGTGTCTGGTTCTTGCTAGGAAAACCATTTATATTTCAAAAATAACATCCAAAGTTCAAACCAAAGAGGAAAAAAATTTCCACTGTTCCTATTTGGATAAAAATCCATGATCTTCCACTTGCTTGTTTGAATTCTGAGGGAATCTCAAGGATCGCGAGCAAAGTAGGAGTTCCTCTTGCTGTCGACTCTCTCACGACTAAAAAGATCCGCCTCACCTTCGCCAAGGTCTGTGTGCTGGTGGATAGCAATGCGACATATCCAGATGAAATCTTCGTTTATTTGGATGGGGACGTTGTCAGACTTACGGTCCAGTATGAATGGAGGCCCACACCATGTGACCACTATAAGTCACTTGTTCAATATACTTCTCTGTCCCTCTAAACCACATACTGAAGAGTCAGGTGATCCTAATCCCGCTGCCCCGAATGTTCCTCATTCGAGAGGCAGAAGCTATATCCATAACTGGAGGAAAAGACATCCTTATTCCAAGCCTAACAGAAATGTCAATCAACCTTCTTTCCCCTCTATCTCTGAACCTATAAGGGATTCCCCACCAATTGTCCCCAACCCACTTTCAGCCGTCCCTAATCCAAATAATGTTGATCCTTACAACTCTATTGGGTAGCTGCTCTTTTATCAACCTCATTCTCCTCCTCCACATCGTCCCACCAACAATTTACCTATTGATTACCCAAACAATCAAAATATGCCTCCAGCTGAATCTGCCCAAGCTATGCCCCCTCTCGATCCTGCTATTTTATGTACTATGGAAACAGGACACTCTAGTATCCCCAACCTCAACTCACTCATAGAAGAGACTCCCTCCTCTTCAATCAGTGCCTCCTCAAACCATAATTCGGGCTCACCTCCAAGAGTTTTATCTCCTAACAAGTTTGAAGCACTTGAATATTTGTCGGAGCAAGAAAAGCCACCTAATTCTTCTATATGTGATGACGTGGTTACTAAAACTCAAAAGTCTAAGGAAGCTCCTCACAACTCTCCTACTCAGTGGTTGCCAAAAAATCTGCTAGGTGTAAGCAAGCCAAAAAAATCCCATACGCAATTCATTTCCTGATGTTTTTTCGTCCATAACAGCATGGAATGCAAGGGGTTTCAATCACCCTGACAAAGTCCTGTGTTGCAAATATCTGGCAGAATCGTTTAAATTAGATATGTTGTGTATTTTGGAGACTCAAATTCACACTCCATCTCTCCAGAACCCTTTCTTCGATATAGCCCACTCTGTCTTTCCCAATGATATTGTTCTTGTTGATGATATTGTTCTTGTTGATAAGACTAGAGAGGGAGTTGAAGGTAAACTTTGGTTAAAAGAAATCAACATTAGTCCATATCTTTTTGCTTTAGTCATGGTTGTTAGCACTAGATATTTGCTAGAGGATGTACCTTGGTGCATGCTTTTTGTTGATGATATTGTTCTTGTTGATAAGACTAGAGAGGGAGTTGAAGGTAAAGTTGGATTATGGAGATCAACATTACTCCATATCTTTTTGCTTTAGTGGTTAGTAGACCTAGTGAGGGGATTGTGACTTTGAGCGATCAATTCATTAATAAGTGTAACACGTTTTAAATATCTTGGATCTACTAATTAGATATATATATATAAATCCATTAATTTTTTACTCTTATATATAGGTTATGGATTATAGAAATCAAGAGAGTTGGATGTATAACGATTATCTCAAGTCGGAAGATATTAACAGATGAATTCATCAATGGTGAACTTTTCATTCAGCAAGCGAAACAGCTGCCCAGCTTTATATCAGAAGAAGTTTTGATGTCCATGTTTCTAAACACAAAAAATCTAGTGCACTAGAACCAGATGATGTAACTGTTGATCTGTTACAGAGGATTCATGCCCACGGTATTGGTATTGGACTTCTCATGGTGAGTATGAGCCACAATTTGATTATCAATGCGGTCCTTCTACAAGTAGTAATTTGCTGAGGCTGAAAACATCGTCCAAATCTTGAGGAATTAGTTCATGATGCAACTGGAATTCAAACTGAACAAAATACAAAAGAGTTACCGAATACGGAGGCACAAAATTTTTATGATTTATTGTATGCTGCCCAGCCAACCAATCTGGAAAGGGTGCACGATTCACTCAGAATTATCTGTGCTGTGAAGATGTTAAGCATCAAGCTGAATATAAATGTTGCTCGTGAATGTTTTAAATCAATTTATGGCTGCTAAGGAAACCAATCCGAAGGATTAGAAAAGAATTTTGAGAAGCTTGGGTCTACTCGGGATGCGCGACATGTTCACTGATATTAAAAAGTCTGGGAAGCGACCACTGTGGATTGGAGAGGTAAATATGGGCTGAGTTAAATGTCACTGTGGGCAGCGAAAGAGTACAGTAGGAAAGGGATCAGAATCGACAGAACAGAGCTTCTGATGTTGGTGGGTTTGGGAAGTTCACTTCATACAGGCGGCTTGGTCCACATACTTGAGCAAGGCGTGTTTGGTAATGAATTTTAAATATTTTTTAAAATTGTTCTTTAATATATTAATTAATAAATTTTCTCTTAATTCAAACAGAAAAGCGATGCTTGGTAGAGAAACCAACTCCTGTTGAATTGCATAGTCGCACTCTTAAGCGACAGGGATCAACAGTGGATTGATGAGAGATCAAGAAAAGCCTATGTAAGTAATTTTTATATATGTTTAATATTTTCTAAGTTTTAGTTTAACTATATATATTTATATATACTTTCACAGGAGGATTATACACGCTTAGAGAGACTCACCGCATCAGGTGAGGGGCTCTTCTGGCGGCTCTGTGGAGTATTCTGAGTATCGCATCTGTCGCAGGCCGTCGGAGGAATGCTAGCATGGTAGAGTATATGGCTTAGGTGGAAGCTCAGGACATACGAGGGATGACATCCTCTACTGCATCCAGCTTCGCATCCAGTTCGCATGAGTCCTTACAAGGTCAAAAATAAGTGCCCTTCAAGCTGAGCTAGAACAAGTAAGGAAATCACAAGCTGATTGCAAGCTCAGTGCAAAGCACAGGTCAAGCTCAGCTGGCAAGCACAGGTTCAAACAAGTATCAAACACAATCAGTTGTTGGATGAAATGCGCAAATGAGAGCAGCTGAGTGAAAAAGTAGCTCCACCTGAGGGAGTCCACGAGTCAGAGTAGTTTAATTTATTGTTATATAGCTTGTTTATTTTGTGAAACATGTTTTATTGAACAGTTTCTTTTAATGTGATTTTTAGTTGATTGTTAGTACTGAATTATTCTTTTAATGTTATAAACTGTTGTGAAACTTGTTGAAATTGTTGATATGTTGTAATGTTAAATTGAAAGTTGTAGAAATTGATATTTTATAGGTTTGCAGGTGTGAAATTTGATTGTTGGCTCGGAAAGAAATTTTTTTTTTGTCCAATGCTCTAGGTTTCCGGCGGATTTTGCGCGGAAGTTCGCCTGGAACAGACATACAATAATCGTATCGTATGTACCGTCGTCTTTTGTCTGTCGGAACTTACTGGCGATTACCGGCGCACTTCCGCCGGTAATTACCGGCGTATACTTTGCGTCGCAAGCGATCGTGGGGTTCTACGCACCATCTTGCGTCATTTTATTCGCCGGGATGGCCGGCGCATAATGCGACCTAATTTACACGAAGATGCGATAGCCGCGCCGGAATTAGTGACGTTTTCAACGTCGATA